TCCCAGCGATCGAGTCGTCTTCTACTTCTTAACTGCTTCCTTGGACGCGCATATTCGGTTGTATTAGTGATCCTGATATTTTTTTACTTAACAGGATAAGTAAGTAGTTTGGGCCATGAGGTGAAACTCTAAATACCAAATCTCTTCACATAAAGTGTTCCAGATGGCGCTCCTCTGTTTCATTTAAGCCAAGGTTACATTTAGCGCCACTAAGTAAGATCTATTTGAATACTTCGGCTGAAGCCACATCGGGGTAAAGTAATCATGCTGTGACTCGAAATCGCCACAAAAATTACAGAAACATGTATGAGTAAAGTGTTAAGTATGGTCCCTTCATTCCGCTTTCAGCAGTTAAAGTTAATTTTGCCCATGGGTTCCAGCTAACGCAGCCAGCTTACACTTTTTCACCCTGCCGTACTTATATGTTTATCACTGAGAATACCTAATAAGATATTAACACTGCAAGTTCAAGCAGGACAGCAAATTTTTCTTCAGTAAACTTCGGCTGTTCACCAAACCCAGTATGATTGTTACAATCAGGTATTACACACTTATTCCATCAATACTAACGTTTTTTGGCATCTTTTAATCAACGAATCAAATGTGATATGCTCTTTATACTATACGTCAGGCGTTTGTGCTAACTATAGGCGAATAGTAAAATTTGATGAGAACCTTAGAGCATAAAGCCACTACAGTCATATCCGCAACGATAAAGACGATCCCATCAGGCTGGAAAGTTTGGAAATAGCGCATAATTTCCTAAGAAATAATCTGAGGTCAGCCACTGCATCAACATCTCTGGCGCCAGTAGTTATACCGCGTAAATTAAAATTAAGATTGATATTTGGCAAGTAGCGCTATGTTTAGTCTTCAAATGCATGTACTAGGCCTGCGGGCTTGATGTTATGATTTACAAAACACTTTAGGTGCAATTCATATATGTGTGGGCGTTCGGGTAATGCAATGTACAGTAGATAGCCAAACTAATGGAATCCAAGGATTTTACAAGAAAATCCCTG